CATTATACAGATTTCCGCCGATACATACTTGTGTAATTATTATCATTGAGCACTTTACACAAGTAATGTTTACGTTCGGTATTTACCTAATTTTTAGTAGGTATCTCCGTGCCGTGTGCAGTGTGCACAGTGCAGTACTAATAGTATATTATGCAATATGCATAAGTAGGTATAAAAATAATAGTAATAATAATAATAATAATAATGCAAAACAACACGACTACGATACTATAACAATGTTATTATTGTTTTAAAGATTTTGTATTACGTCTGTACGGTGTCTGTGTGTGAATGCATGATGCGTAGTAGCGGGTTTACCCAAATCGGATAAAATTGTCACATTGATTTCGTGTGCGGATAAAACGCAGTGATCACATATTGCGAATTTACATCATATTATTTTATGTTGCTGCGTATACTGCACAATGTTTATAATTTGACAGTTGAGTTTGTTAGCGCTTAATATAATATTTATTATTGATCGTTATTCACGTGCGTTGGTATATTATCGCAATACGTTTAAAGTGTATTATTCATATAGCATTAAAATCGTACACATAAAATTAACCATTATGGTGTGCATTAATGGTGTATTTGACGATATATTCCGAAACAGAAAGAGGAAGTCCTAACCGTTATTATATTAATAATTTACTAACGATATAGCTATGCGTACACAAATATAATATATAGCTCGTTAGTCATTGCCGTATCTAGCCCATAAGTTTTTGGCGAGGAGGGGTTTTACGACCGCGGAGAAATGTTATGGGTATATTATACTAAAAACACGTATTCGAGGTACTTTTTATGTATATATATACATTGTCGTCGGGCTGATTTAAACACGAAAAACTAACTATAAATTGTCAATGTCGTTAGTACTACTTTATGGTTATTTTCATTAATTACAATTCTACATTTTAAAATTTTATCTACCGGAGCCTATATCTTTTCGTTCTTTTACTTATAAATAATTTGATTGAATATTCTATTTAGGTTTTTTTTTTTTAATAAAAGTTTACATATATAACATAATTTATATATATATACTTATATATTGTGTTATATAAAAAAAAAAAAAAATATCAAATCCGACTTAGCATGAAGTAAAAGTTTGTTTAAAACGAAATTAGTTTCTAATTCAATAAAAACTATATAATATGTTTACATTCATTTCTGTGTTGACAATGCTATATAAAATTCATAATATCTACTTAACACAAGAAAATAAAAACAATTTGTTTAAGAAAAAATTAAACTTTTTTATTTCAAATAAAATAAAAAAGTACTGAATAGTGATGAAAATAAACTATTTAAAAAAAATATTTAATCGTTAAAGCTACATTTTGATTTGAATAAAAAGTTTTAGCTTATACTATATAGGTACCTACTTTAGAACATTGTTATTACACAACCACGAGTATTTATATAAATTCATATGTTTAGTTGTTGAATGATCAATTCAAATTTTATTTGAAAAATAATAAACGATTAAGAGAACTATTAAGTTGAGATATCACCTTGGCGTAAGTTGACGATGTTAATTTTATTAGTAGTTTAGTATAAACTAAAAAGTATAGTTTTATACTTGAAGATTAAATAATTACTTTTTGAAAGTTAATTAACACGTATCCATAAGTTCTATATATAGAAGAGGTATGCTACCTAACTTATGCTACACCCGTAAAATTATAAAATAACACTGTCAAATAAATTTATTATTTTTATATCACTTAAAACCGTGAAATACAGTTTAAATTACATATACATATGTGTTAAAATATATGTGAAAAATCTATTTTAGTTTCTATAAAAGCAATTATTATTATTTTTTTTTATTCTAAAAAAAATTAGTTATCTCGAAAATAAATGTTTCTTCATATTTTCTATACATTTACATTTATTTTAAATTAAGATATAAAATGTTCGAAACTATAACTAATAAATTTTTACAGATTAGATCAAATTTTTTAGCTTGTAAAAAATTGTATGGATTTAAATGACTTAAAATTTTAGAAAAAAAAAGTTATCAAGATATTTAATCTTTAACTACCAAATCACATAATATAGATATAAAAATGTAAAGGATATGTAGGTATTTCAAAATTAAATGTTTTTTTTATTGGTTAGTGTCTAAACAATAAAATAATTATACTAGAAAAATGTAAGTCTAAGTAACATAAACCAAAATTCAATTGTATTTAGTCATAGACGTGCCAGAAAATTCATTATGAAAAGACAATCAATAAGAACATTAGAAAACTAAAAAAGAAACATAAATCTAGTTTAGTGTGAGTACACGATGTTTCGAACTTAATAAATTTTAACATGTGGTTGCGTGAGTTGCGCCCTATTAATATACAAACATAACACACACATTGTGAACAGTTTTTGTTCTAAGAGGCTTTTCGTCAACTATGGAGTAAACTAGAATCCTCAAACAAAAACCAATAACAGTCCAAAGTTTGATATAATATGGACGTGTACAGTATAAAGTTAAAAAAATGTGTACAGTTTTAAAAGCTTGGTAAATAGAATATTCTTGAAGACTTCGAATAGACTGAAATAGCCATTAGTTTATTAAAGTTCTCGTGAAAATTTGTCAATAAGATTACCTCTTCTTCATATCTACATTAATAAACTACAAAAATGTGGTTATATTTCTCAGGCATAATAACATTTTAATATTCTTAAAATGGTTTAAGGAAATTACAAAAAATTAGCATAAAAACGGCAAAAGCTCAGTTAAATTTTTTAATGTGCATTAATAATAATCGATATTTATTATTTATACATCAAATATTTTAAGGTTTTTATATTTCAAACGAAGAAAAAGTCTCATGGGCACTTTCTACACTGACATGCGTTTTAAAATACTTTTCCCTGGTCTGAAAATTATTTATTGGTCATTGAATGTATATAAATATTTGTTCATACATCATAATTAATTGATTTGAAATCAAATTGGTATCATTTTTAAATTTTTTTTAAAACCAATACAATTTTAATATTCTCTAAACATAAAATATAATTGAATAATTACTTTTATATTGTTTGTATTTAACCAGTCATCATATATTTTAAAACGGCGATTAAATAATATTATTCATAATATACGATATCATAAGTAGGTATTGTATTATTTGTACTCAAGTACTATAATTATGAATATACATCAAAAAATGGAACATTATCTGTATAAATATTTTATAAAAACTCTTTCAAAGAAGAGAGTTATAGCATATAATATTAACAGTAATATTGTGCGATTTATGTTTGACAAAAAGCCGAATGGTGAATAATATAATAATACATGTAGCCGACATATTATATTAGGTTTATTATACTTACTATTTACAAAGTAATAACGATTGGAACTGTGGTAAAACCGAATGCATTAATTCTGCGTAACACATATTAAAAGCTTAACAATTCGTACCAATATATATAACAATTGTCTATAATGATCATCATAATAATGTATGCTAGAATGCATAATATTATATTCACGTTGTTATACCTAAGTAGCTATCATTTAAAATAAAAAAAAAATGATAAATAATTCTCGTTATGAACTACATTCAAACAATTTATGTTTGTAATACGGTCTATTTTGCATAGGTTAAGTTCATAAATCATTTTGAGGTCAACTTTCATCTTCCATTCTCTTTCAAATGCATCGTATATTCTAACTCATGGGAATTGTATACCACCTTTTAAATGCCCTCCAGATGAAAACAAAAAGGAAATTCAGCATGATTACTTTTTCTCCGAGGTCATTGAGTTGTAAAAGTGTAAGTTAACACAGTGAAACCAGATACCTGCATCATAACTCAGTATAATCTATGGGCGTTAAACAATATTAGTTGTGACTGGACTTCAACTATTCACACAATACAATCATTCGTCAATTCTTTACTTGAAATATATCGTGATTTTATAATACTATAAACGTCGATGTATAGACTATAGATACACCAATGGGAAATTAGTTTATAGTTTTTATCGTGGCTATTACATATGAACTATAGAAAACATGTCGTTTAACAATTCTAAATAATTAACAACTATAATAAACATTGTTAGGCGTAGTTATCAAATCATCAACTCAACTTCTTTACGAAAATAAAACAGAATTAATGTGTAAATATTATTATAGTACTACCTATATAGTGTATATACAAGTATTTCTTTATGAATTATATATCAAATAGAAAATCAATACTAGTATCATATATACATTCGGTATAAAACATGAATCCGTACATTTTACCTTTTTGGGAACAAAATTTCGTTCGATTTTGATTAAACAATAGATTGTCAAAATGACAAAGAAAACAACATGATTACATACGACTTTCTGAGAAATGTTGTCATTATTATTATTTGTTATTGTCAATTATTTGTACAATGGGATTACATTATTTTCAAACGTATAATTTTATAATTTAATAATATTATAATGAAGATAAAAAACAAATGTTACATTTATCTTCAATTATAATCAAAAGTTATTTTAAAAATAAAACTAGGTACCGAGAAAGAAAATTATTGATTTCACAGAGATGTTTCTTTTAATTTTTGAGATAATTAACATGGTTTATTAAGTCTTATATTATATCACTTATTGACTAGACTATAAATTATAATGTATTAATATGAATCAAACATAGATGACTTGAAAATAGTAAGGGTAATGTTTTTAATTCTAAAATAGACAAAAAAATTAACATTTAAATTTTATAAATTACATGAAACTTTCAAACGATATCGATCATTTATTTGCACTATACAGAGATTTTAACGATTTTTACGTTAAAACTATGAATTTTATTTACTTAATTAATAGTAAAATAATTTGAGGTTTTTGGTTATATATTTATATTGTGAGTTATTTTTATAAGAATGACCTATTTAATCAGAAATAAAATCGTATAACAATGTTTATCTTGTATTTTGATTTAAAATAAATATGCCATTAAGACTAGATTTATACTTACAGTTCTTAAGCATTCATTAAGTTCACTTGAACCTAAAATAAAATAAATTTGAATTAGACATTTGTATTAAACAGTAAAAATAGATAAAACTCTTTCTGCTTTTAAATATTACGTACAATTATTTGTTGAGTATATTTTGTGCCGTATTATACGCTACAATAATACCAGCATTGATTTAATAATTAAATTAATATAATTCTATTAATTTCAACTCAGTTTAGTGTTAAATTGCGTAATTATTTCATCATGACCTATTCTAAAACAGCTTATTTTTTTTTCTGATTACAATAATATGCGTATTTCAAAAAAAAAAAAAAGTATATATATGTATATATACATTTTGTATTGTATATAAGAACATAAATAAACGATAATAAAGGAGTGTTATTAGCAAACATAGTATATTTCAATTGTAAGAATGCAGGTTATTTGGCAGATGAATTATGTCTTATTATTTAGCAAATTAAAAAAAAAATCATGTTTCTAAATTTTTCTTCTTCTTCTTTGGCTTTTTACAGGCCTTTAAGGCCCATTGCCGCATCGACATATTGTCTTCAATCTTCTCTATCTTGTGCCGTTTCTAAATTTTTTTTTTTTCTAAATTATTCATAATATGTTTTTTTATTTTGAAATGAAAAGGTATATACCTTTTTTCTGTTTAATCATAATCTATACTGAGTCTAATTGGCTTAATACTTCATGTTATGTACTAATAAAGAATTAGGTACTTTTTCAATTTAAAAGAGGAGACAGAAATATATTGAATGTATAAAAAACTTATGTACCAAAGTATATAGACAAATTACATATATCAATATATCTCTTATACAACTCTAATGGTATACGCTTAGTAATATTTGAGAAATTATTTTTCAGGGTGATTACTAGTTTTACATGCAATAATCATCAGCTTTTTTGATTCTGAATTTGTAAAAATTAAATAACTACATACAAAACAATTTTTAAGCGCTGTAAAAATGTTATTTAGTAGTAAAAAATAGTAATACAAATTTATAAAAAAAATGCTATTAGAGATGTGTAGTTGAGTTATGCATTTTAATTTATAAAATCAATTTAAAAATGTTAATTTTATTGTTCTGTGAAATATTTGCAATACCTAGTTATTAAAATAAAAATTCCAATTATTTTTTAACTGCCAGTTAAACAAACTGCTGAGGACTTTCAACAATAATTCTGTTTAAATGAATAAACATAATAACAAAACGAACACGTGTATACGAGTAGTTTGATTTGATTAACAGTATAGTTAATAATTTAAACATTATAAATATAATCTAATTTAATTTATTATCAGGTTTATTTTGATAATACATTTAGGTAAGTATGAAAACTTAGATATGATTATATAGTCACTTTCAAATATATTTAAATTATACAGAAAATAGTTTTCTATGGTTTGTTTTATGAACACTTAAAATTTGAAATACGACATAAACACTTTAATAAACTGAACTGAGCTTAAAAACGTTTCTCGAACGTAATGATTTATAGTTGCTTTTGAGTTAAAAATAATAATAATACAACATTGAGCCAAAGTATGTGTGACTAGCGATGCGAATGTCCACCAGCTTTTATAGGTTCTCTATTATGATTCCTCTTTTAAATTTTATTCATAATATTATACTTAATGAGTTTATATTTGTTTATAGGTACCTAAAAAAAGTTGTTTGGACAGTTTCAATGAATAATTATACTCACTTAATTTTTAAAAATATTTTAAGTTAAAATTTTAACTCAAAAAATTAAAACTTAGAAAATAATTTAAATATTAGTAACGATTATTAAGAGTTGTAAAGTATTGCAAATATCAATGTTATTACTAAGCTCATAAAAACAATTGGTAATGCACGATAAAATAAAAAAAATAAAACACTAAATATAGTTATTTATTATTTGATATTAAATAAATATAAGTATTTGATACAATAACTTAAAAACCAATTTTTGTATTTAAATCTTAAGAGTTTATGTAATTTTTTCTTACAAAACATTATAGACTTATACAAATAATGGTTTTAGAGAACGTTTTGATTTAATTAAAATTTAAAATTATTAGAATTTTCTGTTTAAACAATTATTATGTACATTCAATGATATTATAAATTTAAGTATAAAAAATCAAAGTCTTCACATTTATTAAAAGATCGAATTATTTAATATTTAAACACTTTGTTAAATATTTTATTTATAGACTTAGAGACATTAGTCTCTATTACTCGATGTCATATTGCTTGGGTTAGTATTAAATATACCTAATTAAGAAATTTTGCGCGTTATCTGATTTTGGTTTATTTTTAACTATTGATATCAACGATATTTTAGTTGGTAAATTAGATCAATAATTCTCTGTTACTTATGTTCGTACACAGATCGAATACAGAAATAACTGACATTTAATTCCTAAAATAATAATATAATTATATTATTTTAATGTAAATTATAATAATATATGAATAATTATAATAAATAACAAACGAAAGTTTATAAAATTAATTATCAGAAGGTGCGTATACTCAGTATACCAAATTTTAATTGTTTTATTCATACGAAACTATTCATTAACTTTTAAACTTGTTCATAAATATTTTAAAACATTTTTAATTAATTAAATGTTCCTAATATACAAGCTATTTAAGAATTTGTTTGGTTTCAATAAAAATAAATGTTTTAATTTTCTACTTAAATACATGACTATTGTTTTTTTTTATCAAAATGTATTTAATATAATAATTATAAACATTAGAAATATATTTGAAATAAAATGAATCTTCTGTACTAAAATAATTTCTTACAGCGTAGTTTTAAAGTTTTAAATATAAAATGTCTATTGTGATTTTAATTATAACAAAATATGAAAGTAAAATTTATTTATTTTATTTTATTGAATAAAATAGTTACAATCTATACTTATTTTAGCATGACAAGTAAACGGTATAGTACGATTTAAAATAAAAATATCATGTCAATACATAAAAAGAAAGCAACCTTTATAGTGACAGTGTGACACCTTTGAAAAATATATTTTTATATATATATATATATATATTTTTTTTTTTTGATCAAATGATTTATAATATAATACATAATTTTTTTAAGATTCATTTTAGTTATTTTAAGTAAAATCTGAATCGGTAATAGTTGACCTTGTTCAATAAAGATTTATTATTTACTCTTATCAAAAGTGGTATGGGAGAGGTTAGTAGATTTTTAAATTAGATACGAAGAAGTTAATCGTAAACATTTTTGAGAATAATAAGTTTGGGATATTGGATATAAAATATGTATAATATAAATATTGTTTAATTTTTAGATCTATTTTGGAAATAGGTATTGCTAATAAATTACCTGGAATAACATAAAGATATTTTTAGCATCCTAGGGGAATTTATGTTAGAATGTGCCTTTTTTTTAATATTTTGTTTGTTTTTGAAGATCGTACATACTAGATAGTTATCTATATGGTAATTTCTTGGTAATTTTCATACTTGACACATTTGGTTGAGAATGCAGATTTTTTGTATAAGATTCAAAATTGTGATACTCGTTGAATTTAAAACTGTAGTGTTTAGTTTGGTAATAAAGGTGTGTGTGACCATAATTATAGGAAGTTAATGTATTTGAAATTTATTTACAAATATTCGGAGCTTCTTCATTAATATTAAGGTATGGCACAAAAATATAAATGAAAAAATATTTTTGTTAATTGAAAAAAATAGTAGACGTGCTGTATTAGTTATTAAATTTAGGTATAGTGCATTTATGAAATTTGAAGTTAAAATTAAAATTGTTCTACTTATTATTTTTTTTTTACGTATTTAAATGTATGATTTGAATTACTTTTCGATAAGGTATTTCTTATTGAGGTTGATAAGTATAGAAATCTGTCATGCGAGTATTTCTTTTAAGATGGTTGGATGTACTTCTACATAAAATTTCTATAACTTAATTCAATAACAATTCGTATGTTTTCAATAAATAAATTTAAATCTCTAATCATGGTTATAAAAATTGGAAGGGGGTATTTGTGTTTTTTTTTGTTTTTTGTGAATTCATCTGTAAATTTGTTTTCATTTTATTATGGTATTATGTATTTGAAAAAAAAGTAAATATGTTAATTTACCAACTGTCGTTACTTTTTGTAATTTTGTTTTTTTGGTAAAATATTCGAATCACTTAAGTACACACATTTATCTCATATCGGAGATTTTACATCAGTTCTTTTAATTTTGTATATTGCGTTATCGTTGTTATTTTAAAATTAAGTTTTTTTTTTTAATTAATGATACTTAATTATTACTTATACTATTCATATTCAAATTGCAAATCGCGTCTAATTTTTATCTGAAGGTTAGAAATAGAGGAAATTGTCAGTTTTAAATGATTAATGAGTTTCGATTAAGATAAAAAAGAATTTAATTTTGAATTTTGGAAACAGTTTTCCTTTGGAAAATTCAGATTGTATAATATGTTAAATATCATAAAAAAATAGTTGTAATGTTAAATAAAAACCAGATAATGATCTAGATTTCGTTAATGTGAAATGAAAAATAGATTAATCGGTGGTGCACATGGCGAGTGACGCGAATGAACTGTGTAATATATTCTAAGAAAATAATTGCAAACTTTTCTGTTGTTTCTTGTATATGCACATTTATAATTTTATCGACTTATAGAATAAACAAAAATATATAAAAATTTTATCAACTGATATACATGGCGGTAACATGGTTCTCCAGAATACCCAAGCATGATACATTATTCAGCGACTGGTTTTTAGTGTTGATAGTTTACACATTAATGAACAGTAGGTTAATATTATCACTATAATAGAAAATTGATGTCGGAGGACACTTCCAAATATAACTGCTATAGCAGATATGTAAAAACGGTTAAATATAATGGCAATACTGCTTTAGAGGTGATATTTTATATAGTGTCATATAGACGAGCAAATTGTTCTGACCTAGTAAATCATAGGAAGACAGTTGACACTGCCAATCGTATTAAAAAA